AGAGAGAGAGAGAGAGAGAGAGAGAGAGAGAGAGAGGAAGCACGAGTGAGGGAATAAGTCTAGAGAGAACCCAACCTAAACAAAGCTTATGTAGCGTCTGTTATAGATTAAACACAACTATTCACTGGGCCGGAAACCTTTCCCTCGCTAAAATGTCTCAATTTTTGCAGGAGAATAATTGACAGTTTTTGCGAACCAGTTACGCGATAAGCTGTAATTATAACGCTCGGATTCCCACATTCATTATGAAGATTTTTTCCCAGTGTGTTATTATGGGAATGCTAATGAGGAAGACTCTGGACCAATGGGGAGGATGAAAACAGCGGCTGCTTCGGTGGATATTTTGCATGGAATAGACTGATAGAGTGGAAGATACACAGAAAAAAAGAGATGTATGCGAGATGTACACTTTCAGCCTGTTTCAAAACTGTTATTAACAAGAATTTGTCCACTTGGCATCGCTATTTGGGAATCCTGACGCCATCTGAAGGGCCATTTCATTACTCTGTTAGCCCAAGTGAAGGGTGTTAGATGAGGCCTTGGAGGGGCGAGGGACCCAGCAAACACAAGCATCGACTTCAGCAGAAGAACCCGCCCAGAAGTCAGACTCATTTCCCCTTCCAGACATGAAAATAATGCTGAGCAAAGCAGTAGTAGTAAAGCTACTTTAAAATACTTAACATTTCAAAACTCTAGCGTTCGACTTTCTGGGCTTTATGTTGCAAACTATCTGTTATGCTAGCTGGCTAGTAAGCATGCTAAACAACCTGAAAAAGAAAGGTTGTACACCGAGTTTATAGCCAGACAGAGCAATTATTCACAATTTAAATGCGTTTGTTCAAATGTTTGCATAGCTAGCCGATTAGCTTACTGAGGATAACCTAGCTGAGGGCGACTGAAAAATCCGCTCTTCACTGTCCCTCATTGCCTTGCACTGTAAGTGGCCACTTGTGTAATGTAGGTGTGACGCATATCCAAGTGGAGAATCTACATGTCCAAAAGTATCCAGACAGTCATCAAATTAGTGGATTCAACTACAGTGAACTGAAGTCTTCACCTTAATTCTAAAATGTGGAAAATAGTAAAATAAGTAAGAAAAAAATAAGCGGCATGTCCAAACTTTTGACTAGTACTGTACAAATTGTCTTTTTATCATTTTGTACCAGTTACTAACATTCCCCCATCACTCTCAGTAATATTTTTGTTGGTGAATTGTTTGCCAGTGGTTAAAGGAAATCTCCCAACATGCTTTTGACTATCCCCCCCACCACCCCTACCCCCAACGCAAAGCTCCACCACATTTTTCCAAACTGCAGCTCAGCACGTCCACTTCCACTTGCGTTGTTCAGGAAAATGCCGTCCCATGTTTTCATGTCACTACTGAAACACAAAGACTTTTGGTGCATAGGCGGAGCCTTATTTTAGCCACAACCCTGCATCCCTGCCCTTCATGGCCACATGGGGACCAGTGTTTTGTAGTAAATGTGTCCAAAGTCTGAAAGTCAGTGTGGAACATTGGGATCTGTCACTACTGAAGCACATTTTCTGCAGTTAAGTAAACATTGTGTTTTAATAATATGATTTTATGTGTGTCCAACTGTTCAAAGCAGCGTTTGCTAATCATGTACTAGCGATTTTGAGTTCTGCTCAAAATTAGCTAAAATTGTCACTACTGAAACAGTCAACTTGGTAAAGTTTCGGTAGTGTTATGGTTGTTTTGGCAGTGAAAAAATGGAATGTTCAATCATTTGTTTTAATACAATAATCATAATTAAATTATAAGGTCACTCAAAGCAAAAGGATTTTAGTCTAAAGTCCAAATCAGATAAAAGTCCCACATGTTCTTTCAACTCTGACTTTGAACCAATTCGATAGAACAACTCAAGTAAGGTATTCAATAGCATTCCTTATACTGGAATACTGTACTTATTACTAGCAAGGTCATTTATTCACTCTTTCATGCTTTCTTTTGTCCTTTCTTTTCCTTCACTCTTTCAAACAGGCTCACAGACAAGTTCTCTTAGGTGGGAAAGCATGTTTAATAACCCCATCTGCCACAGATCACTGGTCAAAAAGAAAAGCTCTTTAACACACACACTGTCTACACCGTCTCCCCTCATGCTCACTCTCTCTCTCTCTCTCTCTCTCTCTCTCTCTCTCTCTCTGACACACAGTTCTGTGCTTCATGTCAAATGTCAGCTTTCATTTGCTCTGTCGTTTCTTAGCGAGGGCCCTTTTGTGCACTGTATTGTGGCAAGGAGCCAACAGGGGCAGCGGCGTTTGCTGGAACGAGGGGAAAATGACTTTTTGCTGGAGGTTTCTTTTGTAAACCAGCCATACAAGGCCTTTTTCTGCTGACACAACCACATGTTCACTAGTTAATGGCATTAAAATGCTAATCCAACAACCCTCTGACATCAGTAAGTAAGTAGATATGCTTTTGAACAAAACATGTCTTTTAACGAGAACCCAACATGACGTCTTTCAGCCATGTCTGTAAACCACTGCTATGATCTCTAAAGGAATATCTCCATTGGTTTTCAAGCTAATCTGTATATGCCGCATCAGTAGAGTAGTGGCCAATAATTTCAACCTGTTTCATACCAAAACGGAGAACTCTCTGGCTTGAAAGTCATTTGTCAGTTGTTGTTGTGGAGTTATATTCAACTTTCAAACACGTTACTTTCACTTTCTGGTAGGGCTGGGCGATTAATCGAAAAGTAATCGAAACCGACATTCAGATCCTTTGACCGACATTATCTTGCCCATGTCGGTTATTTAGATTTTTTTTATTCTGTTAATCCTTTCCCCAATCTGTGTGTTTATGTACTGTCCCCTTAAAACTTACTACCGCGCGTGTCGTCACGTGACTCCGCCACGACATGGAGGCTAAGGCTGTTCACACAGCAGGTAAAAGTGGCCCAAATCTGATTTTCTCACCAAATTGATTTTTTTGTTTGGCTGTTCACAATATCTTCTAAATGTGATCTGTATGCGACATCTGTCTGAACAGATCAGCTCCTAAACTGACCGGCATGCTCAAAAGAACAATACGTCACGTTGCTTCACGTGGCTCATCCAGAGGTAGACAATCATGACTATGAATGAACGCCAGTCGCTCCCGAAGGATCAGTTTGATCTGCGCTAGCATCACAGGAGCCATCATGAAGCTTCACTGACTGACAGCTGGGCTCATCACCCAGAATGTGTTCAAGCTCACCTTAAAAAGGGCGTAGTCACTTTTTTGGTTCGTGTCGTCGGATTCTTTAAACATAGCTTTCAGACTTAACTGTTCTTTGACGCTGCAGCCTCGCTCTCCTACGGCCGGGTTCGGCCATTTCTTTTGAAATCTCTTCAAACACGGAGGTGTTTCGGAGAAGCCTCTTCTAATTTTTGTACAGAAATATCACCCCAAATGTTTATTAGGTCTCAGCAGCGCGAAATTATGACGAATGTCCAGTTGATTTGATGCAAAAGTTGCGTGAATTCTGATCTGGCTGTTGAGACGATTTACATGAGTATATTTACAGTACAAACCTTGTCAGTGAACTATGAGGGTAAAACAAACAAACAAATAAACAAACAACAAATAATCCTTCATTAATCGTAATCAAGGTAAAGCATTCAATTAATCATTATATTGATTTGAGGTCATATGGCCCAGCACCACTTTCTGGTATCCGTGGCAGAGCACCACTATGATGCCTATGGATTATTACAAATTCTTCCCTCTGGAAAACGTGTCATATCTAAAAAGAATGAATCAAAATGTCCAATTGCATGTTTATGTGAACAGTGTTTTCCTGTCCTCTACAACAAAATGTGTCAAAATGATTGTCCATGGTCTGTGGTCAATGGGTACGATACAGATGTTGCAAACATCGAGTTTAAAAACACTGGGGTATTCCTTTAAATACCTCCCCCGACTCTACATCCTTCTTCTTTTCTCTATCACGTCCCGGCTCTACACCACGAGGGCCCTCCATTACCTGAACAGCACAAGCCGTGTCCTTTTCAGGAGACGACATATTTGAATACTGCATGGAGGCAATCACATCAAGGCTGCTTCTGTGTGTCCAATTCGCGCTATGAATCTTAAATGAGAAAACAAGCAGCAATGCCCACGTAATCGTCAAGGGCTTCTGTCTCACCAAAGAGCATCAACTACTAAACTAAGCAGCACGCTGAAAAGAGATCAGACTCGAGACCAGTCTCAGATTATAGTGATCAGACTAAGATCAGGCTCAAATAATATTAAGATCAAGCTGAGATCTTATTTAAATCAGACCCAGATGATACTGATATCAAACCAAGAAACAGAATCCATTAATATAGAAATAATACTGAGATCAAGCCTTCAGACCCAGATGATGCTGGTAGCCTACTAAGATCAGACTGAAACCAGACTCAAATAACATTAAGATCAAAGTGACACTGCATTAAGATCAGAAGCAGATGATACTGGTACCATATTTAGATCAGGCTGAGATCAGACTCAAACAACATTAAGTTTGAACTGACATTGCGCTAAAATCAGACTCAGACAATACTGGAAACATATTGATAAACTGAGAGCAGACCCAAATAACATTGACACAGTGTACTAGATTAGACTCAGATGATACTAAAAGCATACAGAAAACAGACTGAGATTATACTCGCATTATTATAAGAATAAACTGACATCAGACAAAGGTCAGACCCAGATGAAGATACTAGTAGGATATTGAGATCGGACTGAGACCAGACCTAAATAACTTTTAGATCAAACTGATGTACTAATACCAGACTCAGATGATACTGGTAGCATATTGAGATAAGGCTAAGATCAGACTCAAATAACATTAAGATAAAAAACTGACGTCGTACTAAGACCAGACTCAGATGATACTGGAAGCATATTGAGATAAGACTCAAAAAAAATGTTCAGATCAAACTGAGATTGCAGTAAAATCAGAAATTTACTGGTATCACAATGAGATCAGAATCTGAAGTGTTACCTGACACGAGGGCCGTCGCGCAGCGGTTCTCTAATGGTGCGTCCGGGGCCGGGCAACGTGCGGCGGTTAGCGGTGGAGTAATCAGGCTCCAGGTCATATGGCTCCTCATCGTCTGGACCAAGGCTGCGACGGTCGTCCTCCAATCCGTATGGCTCAGGTTGGAAGCGTTCTGGCTGGGAGCGGTTCAGATCCACAGTGCTGCTACCCATGGGCACCTGTGGTTGGGCCATGTGCCCATAGTCATCCTTCCGGATAGGGAGAGTGGTGTAGCTGTTCTCCATGCGATAGCCTCCTGCGGCCATGTAGGGCCGGTAGGGCCGGTAGTTGATGCCACGGGACAGGCTGCCGTAGTTGTCAGCCACATCTCCGTAGGCATCATGCAGGGCAAAGTGGCGGTACTGGCTGTCTGGTGTCTCGCCGTATGAGTCGTTGTAGTTGTTATAGGAGCGTGTGAGGGTGGATGTGGCCTGTGGCGTGACGAAGCGATCACCGTTCTTCATGAAGCGCCGGTCGATGGAGTCTGTGTAACTCCCCATCGGAGAGGAACCCTCAGGCAGTGGGAGGCCGTCTGGACCCAGTGGAAGCTGCCGGACCGTGCGTGTGGTGACTGTCTTCACCATCTTGGTCACCTTAAAAAAAGAATAAAAGAAATGTTAGAGCAGACAGGAGCATTTAGGCAACCTTGGTCACCTTGAAAGATGACTGAAAGCATGAGCAGCCAATAACAGCATGTTGTGTGAGACACCTAGATGACACGTTCTTATCACAGGACAAAGTGCACTACTCTCTCTTCCCTCAATGGAGACTTATTTCACAGGGCTTCAAGATGATTTTGATAAAACTGAACAAGCAGTTCAGTTCAAGTTGCTCATTGCCTACAATTTAAATGGGTTTCTAAGCTCTTTTCAGATACAAACCTCTAGTTGTAGGCCTGCTGGTGGTCTATGGTAGGTACATTCAGGAATATACCCTTCCATTTTGTAATTCAGCTAATACTTCTACTTAGCAAAGTCTTGGGGTAAACCTACTAATTCCTCTAATAGCAGAGCTTCCCCAGCCCAAAGTACTTCAAAAATCATTTGGAAGAACTGTGAAAGACTTTGTTGAAAAATGCTGGAATAGGTAGTGCACTAGCCATCTCATAGGAAGCCATTCAGAAAACAGCCATGAAGCCAAGATGCCCAATCCACAGCAACCATATCAAGAGCAAAGACACATGGTTATGAGTGAGCAGGACAAAGCAGATCAAGATGTCTTTTACACGTAGAGGGATTGGAACACCACACGACGGGCTGAAGAGTGTGGTGAAATGGCATCAAATACAGTGCAGTCATCAATAATTGGACATTCATTTAAATTCTGTTGTTTTGGCTATGTATTCCAGGCCACTGGGTTTGAAATAAACCATGTCAGCTTGAATGTGAAGGTATGCCCATCTATACTGAACGAACCATATAGGAACCATACAGGAATAACAAGTGTTGGTGTAGGCGAAGTTTCATTTTAGGAGGAGCCTGCTAACAGGTTGTGGGGGCATTATGTCCCAGAGACATCGCTGTAGTGAGGACGACAACCACCAACTAGCCTATTGTATTATAGTTGCTATAGCCAGACATAAAAGTTTAATTTTAAACATAACAAACAACTGCTTACCTCAAATTTAACTGCCTAGTTAACAGAACACCATTGGCAGTTAATGACTAATAAACCAGAGTCCCAACAGCACTAGGCGTAAATCTCTGGGGTTAATAGTTGAAGACTTGTTTTCTTGACCACGGTCAACTCTGGCTATGTAAGTAGTAGGAGCACTAGGAACGAGCACAACTCAGCTACGTACCCTCAATCTGGAGTAACAAACAGAGTAATGCTGTCTTTACATGTTGGCGATGGAAAAACAGCATTTTTCTATTTTGAGGAAAATTCTTGCAGAAAACAATAATAATGCACAACTGATGGCAATATGTAGCCATGTAAACATTCCTGCCAAAAACTGCTGACAGCTTTAGCCATCTCTGTTATTTAATGTGGAAACAAGTGTTTCATTATTTGATTGGCTCTAACTTTCAAGTGAAGTAGCCCAGGCCTTCAAGGGCCCCTCATAGCTATGCCCCTGTTATAGACAGATGAGGAAGATCAACATGCACTAGAGTGATGGAATGGAGAAAAAAGGAACTGCACATTATCCAAAGCAAACCGTCTCATCTGTGAAACATCACACGTTAAAATATACGAAAAAAGACAGATTACTATATAATTCACCCAATATACCCTTAAACTGAAGTCAATATTTCTGGACTTTTGTACCATTTCAAATCCAATATAATGGAATACTGAGACAAAACGTAAAAATGGTTACTTACAACTGCACTGAACATTCTTCAGTTTGTCAAAACTGTATTGAAATAATCAACAATGAAATTGCACGGTCAATAGTGGCACAGAGTCCGGCCCAATCGATTTATTATTTGGTTGATAAAAAGGGACATTTTTGAGGCTCCATTTTTGACCATAAAAATCGCATCGCGATCATCAGTTACGTGAATTGTACCTTCGTGAATTGTATCTTCTACAATCAGTCAGGCCCTAGCATGGACTTGTGCAGTTAGGCATTTGACTGATAAAAAAGGACAATTTCAGCACATTCTCCTGGAAATTTCAGAGACTGAGAATGGTTTGGGGTGATATTGAGTTTCCGTGCTAAATGTGAGTGGCCTTCTTGCTGGAACCATTGATATTTCCATTTGCAGAGTATGTTACCAAGCCAAACAGTGTTGTAGCCTGAAGCTCAGTATGTAAGGAGCTACAGATCAAAAACTGCCTGCTCTTGCGGTGAAGCCATTCTAACTCGAACACCATTTAACGGTTTCTGAAGATCAGTGCTCTGGCACTTCATGAACAGCATATGTTTTGATTTGCTGCGAGAAGCATATTTGATTCATATCTTATTTGAGGCTCAATAAGCACAGGGGCTTTTGCTGGGCTATGTGTAAAGTATACAGTGCTGTATATTCTTGTTCAGAAACTCCACCCTATGAGAGTAACTACCAAAGCCAGTGGGGAAGGAACAGCAAGCAAGGGCATTGCTTGGACTGCCTGCAGCAAACTGGGATACATCATGTTACTGCACAGATCTTTCAGTCTACCAGTGTTCACAGATATCTGTACGACTAGATTCAGTAAACGAGCAAACAACGGCATACTAGCAGTATGTGTAATGACTGCCTTAGGCAAAATGAAATCTGGGACAGCCTTGTTCATGGAGAGATCTTTCGCTGCATTGATGAGCACGTATACCTCTTTTAGTAGACCAAAATAAACGCTCTGGGCGTGTTAATATTCACCAACAAACCCCAGCAAACCCAAATGCTATACAATTACATATACGAGCGCAGGCACTGAGCAAAATGTGCCTTTATGACAGCAATATGCACCGACAATGCGTAGATATATATTATATATGGCCAAAAGTATGTGACCATCATACCATATGTGCTTGCTGAACATCCCATTCCAAAACCATAGGCATTAATATGGATCCCAATCCCCATGCCTCTGGCTTCCATCTGGTTGAAACATGTTGGTTATAGTTTAACCGGTACACGGGACCTTTTCCCAAAGGAAAGGCTTGTCAGCATGATTTCTGACCTTGTTTTTTGTTCTTGACACTTACAGCGAGCTATCCGACCACTGCACCCTGCGGCCTGCAATCTATTCTAGATTGGTGGGCCTGAGATGCAAACGTTTGCACTCTTAAGCACATTGAATTTGTCAGGTAGTGATCTTTGGGTTTTTCTTTGCCATGCAAATGATTTTCCTGTGGATGCGCATGTTGGACGTCTTCACGACTTCTGTACGTTTTGATCCAGACGTGGCATTCTTGCCTGGACAGGGTATTGAACTTTCTGTCTTCTGGGTGGGGAGCATTTGAGCGATTTGGAAAAAATAGTACTAGAGATTATACCAGTGCGTCAGTGCATGTGCCACCTAAAAGCAGGATGCTATATTATCGATTGTATTTCCAATATTGGACTGATAAAAATTGTTCCCATTTATCGGCAAATGCTATATTGTCCGCCAACATATTGTGCACCCCATTTGTGACTGTTTGGATGTTTCCACAATGTTTTACCCCCTTAAAATCCACTTCTTTTGCCTTGTCAGATCTTTCTTGAACACTTTAAACTGTGAAATTTGCTGTCAGTGTTCTCTCTCCTTTGAATAGTTTGATTGCACTGAATTCTGGGACAGAACCACATTCTCAATCTCTCGGTCCATCAGTGAGCAGACACTACTCTCTGTCTAGACCTAAATAAATGAGTTTCTCACCCCGACTGTCCCAGCTCAACCTTTCATTCCCACTAAACGTCCACATGCTGGCAGGGAGAAGAAGTGCCTCTGTCTTCTGATGCTCAGTGCTGATTCTGAAACCAATTTGCTGCCCAGCGAATTCTGCGGCACCATTAATTGGCTATTTTGTTCGCGGCTATAAATTCATCTCGGGAATTAATGAGGCTGATGAAAATTAATCGTCAGCTGAGAGCGTCCGTGCCCGCCAGAGTCTGTGTGGGCTTAGTGCACGGCCATTTGTTAACACTTACACTCATGGGAAACGTCTCTTTAACGGAGCGAGGATGCAGAGTGCATATAACCTCTCACGCCTGAAAATTTTTTCCCCTCTTATTATTATTTAAGCCTGAGCAGCACCAGTTGTCATGGAGAAAACTTGAGCTAACCAACTTCATTAACCTGAGAACTTTATTTCATGGTTATTGTTGGTCAATTTACAGTTAATCTAAGCAAAAAAAGCATTAATAAGTGGAACACTTCAAACTTCCAGACCACACTAGAGGTTAATAGCATACATATTGTTTAAACAGAACAATTTATAACTTCCTGCCATTTTGTGTGTGGAGTTAATTTACAGTAGTAAGCACCTTGAGCTTGTTTTTGAAGTGCGGCAGAACAGGGAAAAAAAAATCTTTCCCTGGTGTATAATTACAGCACTTCCTTCCAATGAGTTTCTCTCCCATTACTATTTATTAATTAATTTATTTTTATTTATTTATTTAGCACTACAAGTTGTAGAACAACACACAAAGTCCTTTCATGTTTTTAATGAAGCAATAACACCATAATCACAAAGTTTTAGGACTTTTTTTCCAATCATGGAAGCCTCAGATGTGGAAATGGTAGAGATGGAATGTATGAAGGGGAATGCTACTGATTTTCCTGAGTTCCTGCATAATTTAGCCATTGAAATGTAAACACAGTCATTCTGAGTGGTTTGGTGTGAAATGGTTCATTGTAGGGAAACACACTGACTGATTTCTTTGCAGTGGTGGTGATGGGAACCAGGAGTTGCAATGTCTACAACACAAATATAGCCATTTTATTTACTATCAAAACCACCAGTGAACCTAAATGTATCTTCTGAGTTTTATATATAATGTTGATGATGGTAAAATAGAGGTAAATCTTAAGTAAGTAGTTTTCTTTGGGGACTGTTTTGCCTAAGAACCATCTGCAAGTACCTGTCTACCATGAAGAAACTGTTATAACTGGGAATGAGGGAGTTTTTAGAGGCATAAGTTTCTCTAGAACAAAGCCTTTGACTCTGAACGACTTTGTT